CAGTCAAGTCACCAATGACACCTCCTCCCAATGCGATAACAACAGTGTCTCTACCACATGGTGGGCTTTGACTCAACATCCAATCCTCAATATCCGCTTTTGTCTGTCGAGACTTCGAAACCTCACCCGGAGGAGCATAGTACACTAGGAGACGAGGGGCCGGAGTAATACCAGCGGCCGCTTCTTCGAAAGACTTCTGGAAACCGGGGGTGTAGATGGATCCGATATTCGTGTCGGTGATAAGGACGTAGGTCGTGGAGGGGCATCCACTGATCAGGTCCTTGGCGACATAATTGCGCCAGATTCCGAAATCGGAGATAATGCTCTCCCTGCCGAGAATGCTGATCTTAGTCGGTTCGCTCATTGCGAAGGATGTAGAGGGGTGGTGGGGAATAGTCGCGATGGGGAGGCACGATAGGTAGAAAAGAGGACTCTTGCGTGAAACGGTATTGCTATTCTATTTCATTCTTCAGTGTGCTCAGTTCCGTTTGTTCCCAACAGCTTCTGCTGCAACTGATTTCACCTGCAGACAAAAAGAAAGGCGATCAGAGCAGAATGAAAGGAATGCGCGGGGGAGGGGCCTGGAAGATCACTTTATATTTTAGCTGAGTAATTAGCGGTGATTGTGTGGCTGGGAGAATTCTGACTCAAAAGCAAACTGAAAGAAGGACTCAATTGACCCGATGCGCTTCCCCAGCGACGACGTGAGCTGAAAAAGTGAGGTTTTTCAACTTCTCTCTTCGTGGTGACTCAAACTGCCAGCCCCGATATCGTCCTTCGGCAAATGGTTGGCCCGCCACGGCACGTGAACGGCACGTGTACTACTTACAATGAAACGGGTAGCTCCGTGGGTAATTCGGAAGTCGATTATTCCGCGACTAAACGAGGTCTATATTGAGTGGGCTAATTGAAAGAAAGTGTATTACCTATTAACATGTATGTACACACGCAGCTGGTTGGATGCTTGAGTGCTTGTCTATCTAAATGTGCGTACACGCTGGTCTATATAACCGGTCCGACGTTATTCCTTATCATGAGAGAATGAGTGTAGATGCCAGATTCAGATTCATTTCTATAAGGTTACATGCATGAAAAAGAAACTACACAGCTATCCCAAGGATGTCCCTATTTTCTTTCAGCAAGAAACAAACCGCCTAACTCCGTTCCGTGCCCATACCCGGTTTTGATACTAATTTTTGGAAAGGCTTCGTTATGGAAGAGATTCTCAATAGCGACCATAACCACCACCAGAGCCTCTGGAAGAATAGTGATCGCGTCCACCGCGGGGCGGTCCACGATATCCCCCTCTGTCCCCTCGGTAACCTCCGCCTCCTCTGTAGTAGTCGCCACCGCCGTAGCCAGACTGTCTTCCGTTCTGGCCATAACTATTTCCATATCCCTGGTTTTGTCTGCCATAATAGTCATACTGGCTGTATCCCTGCTGTGGGTAACCTTGCTGGGGTGCTCCGCCGTGGGACGGGTAATAAGAGTTGGATCCTCCACGGGGAGGGGGAGGCGGTCCTCTAGAAAAGTTCCCGGCACCAGGAACGGGGGGGACCCAGCCCGACGGTGCTGGCATTGACGGCATTCCAGCGGGTGGGGGTACAAAGCTGGGGTCAAGATGCGCCGCAAATGGGTTTGGTCGGTGAGATGACCCATAATCCATACGACCGCCTCGACCGCCGCCGCGGAATGGCGCGCCGCCAAATGAACGGCCTGAGTGCTGCGCTCTGGACTTGACAGCGTGGATGTCCCCATTGTCCAGCGCCGGGGGTGGGAACTTGACGCCCCGGAGGAGCATGGATTTGTGGATGTGAGTCGACTTCGGAATTTCAAAGTTGACCCTGTAGCAAGAAGTTAGACAGGTTTCTGGTTTGAAGAAAAATGTGGCTCAACTTACGTTAGAGAACGATCTTGGTCCAAACTCGGCATGCCATATTGCTCCAAGTCCGAGACTAAAGCACTGTGTGGGATATAAGACCCATTGCGCTCTACCTTTCCAGCCAGTCCCTCACTGGAACGCATGTTCAGCTTGAACTTTTCGGGACCTGGCTTCTTCGAGTAGAAGTTCGCAACCAAGTCCTGATACAAGGGATGGCCATCAGACAACAGGAGAACATCATGACCCATTGTGTTCCGAATTTTCTCGTCCTCGGTTAGAAGGGGGTATTTCTTCTCCATGGCAGCGAGTAAACGATTTTCGTCGATGAATGGGAGTAGGACCACACCCTGCCAGGCAAACTTCTTGCCGTTCAAGTCCACAGCAAAATCCTCTGGATAAAAGTCGATAATCTCACTGTTAGGGTCGCTCATGAGGTCGTGGAAGATCTTCGGAATAGCGTGGTTGGAGGACGCTGGGAGAACTCCCATCAATTGTTCAAACGGCTTGAAGGGCGTTCCCTTGTCGAATGATGTTTCCATGTCGGCGATGTCATCAAAGTCTGCTGCAAACGGCGCATAGTGGTAAGGGTAATACCAAGTCCAGGACGGGCAACCTTGGAAATAATATAATAGGACCCAGGCCAGGCCTTCCGCATATGCTCTAGCGACCCTGCGTCGGAATGCCTTGTCTTCGGGGTCGACATCGAACTTTTGCTCGTAATAGCGATCAGCATAACCTGGCTCCCATAGTCGGACAGTATCAGGCGGTAGCCCATCATCCTTAGGCTCTGCGGGTTTGCTCGGGGTCTCTGCTCCTGCCCCTTGTTCTTCCTCGCCAGCCTTCCTCTTTCCGAGAACTGATGGAGATGTCGGCTCCGCGCCATTGGAAGTTCCTTCTGGTGTAGCCTCTTCGGGAGTTTCGGCTGGGCTTTCTTGCGAACCGCCCATGAGCTTACTTTTGAGGACTGCTGCGGCGCTCTTGTTAGCCATATTGGCTTTGTATACAGCGCCGCGATTGACCACCATATTGTGTGTTAGTTCTCTCGCCTCCCTTGTCAGCTCTCCTCGCGCAGGAGTAATGAGTTCCAAGCCATTCGGAGGTGCTGCATCTGCACCCCCTCGAGACCGGTTGGCGCTTGAAGAATCGTAACTAGGTGAGCTCCTCCTCTTTTTCCTCGAACGCTCCTCAGCCTCCTGTTTCCGCCTCTTTTCATTTGCAGCTTTTCGTTCGTCAGCCTGTCGGCGACGGCGGAAGATGGCATCTTCCTGTTTGGCGAGACCTTGCATGATGAGCTGCGCTTTTCTGAAATCAACGTGGCCATCTTGAGTCAGATAGCCGCCCATGGCGGGGATGTTATCGCGCCAAATCGCGATGAGCGTGTCGATTCCATTCTCGCGAATGTCTAATGATGGGAGATGCGGAAGGAAGTCGTTTCCAACGAAGAAACACATGAAAACCCAGTCGTCTAGTGCTCGTTCAAGGTCAAAGGGGAAGGGCTGTTGAGGGACATACAGCTCCGCAGCAAGGTATTCCCGAAGGATAGAGACATTGAGCCAGATGAATGGCTTGAGTGAATTACCCTTTTGTTTCTCGTCAAATTCGCCGTTCTTCTCCTTCGCTTGACCTCTGCACTCTTCAGCTTTGTGGCCCGGCTGACCACAAAGATGGCAGGTCCTTGGTTTTGATTCCTGGAAGAAAACATCTTCACGCAAAACCCGGAAATGTGGTTCGTGGGTAGCGAGGCCCAACATAATCAAGTCCGCGTCCTAATAAGATACGAAGTCAGTACCTAGCCCAATTGAACGACTATCGACCATCGTCAAACTTACTAGACCATATATAACGTGGCGAGTGTTGGGGTCATGTTCGGGAGCCGCCCGTTGGGATCGAACAAATTCCATAATCTTGTGTTCCCCTTCTCCTGGCACAGTAGCATCGGAAATGATGATTTTGAGCTGATAAGGTCAGCGCTGCACTTGTATTGTAGGAACCGGGAATACACACCTTCTCCCAAGCCGGATCTGTGTTCAGCTTGTAGGCAATCCAGTAGCGAAGAGCCGCAGCAAGGATATCCATGAACGGGGTACCAGGCGTAATGACATTACTATCCCAGGTCTTTTGAATGACTTCCTCCTCAAGCGCATGGTCACCCTTGCTGGCGTTCTGCTTTGCGAGCAGTTTCTGAAACTCCTGCTTCTTCTCGTCTGCCTCTTTGGCCTCCTGTGCGGAACGGAATCGACGAGCACGCTGTTGGTTCATCTTTGCGCGGGGAGCGACACCATCTATTTGAAAAAGAAACCGGTTAGTCCGATATGTCAGACAATACTTTTGACGAGCAATAACATACCAACAGCAATCATCAGAACCTTCCTAGGGCGAACCATGTTCACCACCCGATCAGTGTACTTGAAAATCTCCAACATCATCTCCTGCTCGTTGGCCGGTGGCGGCTTTCCCTCTGGATGAGTACATGGATGGACGATACCATTCATGTCCAGATATAGATTGTCCATTTCATCTCCATTAGGATTTGGGCCCGTCGTGTCCACAGGGATCTCTTCTCCATGCACCTCATACGGGAGGTGTTCGATCACGGACGAGATGATCTTGGGGTACTTGTTAGAGAGCCATCTGAACAGTGCTGGAACACCCATAATGTCGATGCGAAAGATGATTCAACGTTGAAAATTGAGACGAGAAATGCCATGGGTCGTTTCAATCGAGTTGTCTCCGTCCGCAGATACCGATTCACCGCGTTGCGCCAGTCGCGTAGAACACAGAAACAGGGAACGTAGGTATATAAGAATGCAAAGAATGAAATATGGGAGATCAGAAAAACACCGCGACGTAAAACACGGCGCACTCACACAAGTGTTGGAGTGAAGAAAGAGATGTTGTTGAAGACTCTGCGATAAGATTTGGTGGTTTTCTGTGGCGGCTCCGGATGAGGAACTCTTGGCGTGGAGTTGAAGACAACAGTAGTGTCAACAACCCACCAGTTTCAATACCCTCAACCTCCCACAATAACCACAGACAAAATCCCTTTACGGGTTCGATGACCATCAATTGCTACACCCGCGGCGGGCGGTGACCATGAAAGTACGAGCTACCAGTTGCGATGTTCCGAATACTCGAATCGCAAGCGCCGGCCAAACAAACGGCAACGGACACGATCAACACATTGAGCAGTAGGCTCCAGAGCGTCACATTGCTCGAAGACCGACGAGCGGCGATACTGGGATTGAGGAGCTTTGCAAAGATCTACCCGGCTTCTGTTGCGTCGGAGTCGCTTCGACCTTTGATCAGTAGCCTCCGAAATGACCAAGAGGATGTGGACACGGTTAAAGTGATCTTGGAGACCTTGTTGAACTTGTTTTCTCCAGATGAGAATAGCGTCTGTTACAGCAGTGGAGATATATGAGCGTTAAACTTGGTACTGACTTGTTCTAGCCCGAAGCGTCCGATGAGATAGCCCTTTGGCTCGCCGATGAGTTTACTCAAGTATGTACCTACCAAGAATACAATTGGGCATCCGCTTGGCTAACAAGATGAAAGCGACAAGATAACATCACCACACTCCTTGACCTCCTCGAAACGAACGATTTCTACTCCCGTCTATATTCCCTTCAGTTGATCTCCCTCATCTCGAGCGCACGACCCGAAAGAACTCAGGAATGTATATTTACCGCGCCACTGGGAATCCCAAGGCTAGTTAGCGCTCTGAATGATGTGCGTGAGCCTGTTCGCAATGGTATGCTGGCTGCGACGCCTCTAGATACGTTTGTATACAGTTGCTAATGAATGTCCCTGCCTACAGAAGCCCTAGTTTTACTTATCGCCTTGACGCCATCCTCCGAAGAACTTCAGAAATTAGTCGCCTTTGAGAATGCCTTCGAAACAGTCTTCTCCTTGATCGAAGCGGAAGGAGCACTAACGCATGGTTCGGAAGTTGTAGAAGACTGTCTGGCCTTGCTAGCAAACCTCTTGAGGCTGAACATTTCGAATCAATCGTACTTCCGGGAAACAGGCTGCGTGAAGAGGCTGGCGAAACTTCTTGCCGATGTTAACCAGGAACAAGATCCAGATGAACCATCACCGTGGATCCTCGCTCATCGCGACAAGAATATATGGGGCACATTAGCTATCATCCAATTATTCTTGGCGAAGGGTGGAGTCAATACGCCTGCAAACCAGATGGTATTCTGGCATAATGGTGTTATGGAACAAGTGTTGAATTTAGCTTTCGGTCAGCGGTTCACTGTCAATATCACGTCCAAGGTTCGAAAGAGCTCTTTTTTCCCCCCCAATATGATCTATACTAACTTTCCAAGGCATTGGCAACATGTGCCGATTTAATCCGAGGCAATCCAGGTTTGCAAGAACAGTTTGGAGACGTTGAAGTTCTCTGGGGAAGTGAACCGACCAGCGAACGCACTCCAAATGGCGAGGTCATGGTCAATGGCTTCCAGCGAATTAACGTGATTGAAGCTCTACTCAAGTTAAGCCTCGAGCCTGCGTCTATTCAGCAGTTAGATGCGCGTCTTGCTGCTTGTGAATGTATAAAAGCTTTCTTTGCCAACCATAGTGGAATCCGACAGCACGTTCTGCGACGAGCAATTGATGGACACCTCAGCGGTCAAGATGAAATTCCTAACATTTTGTCTGTCCTGCTTACTCCACCAGAGTCCCGTGGCAACGCAGATCTGTATCAAACTTGGATGGCTTCCGTTTTGATGTTCCATTTGATTTTCGAGGATCCTGAGGCAAAATCAATTGCCATGAAAGTGACAGAGGGAGATGCCGAAAGTGGTGAAGAGGTTATCACTTGTGTACAGACTATTGTGGGCCACCTGATTACTGGCATGCAAAGAGGCGATGACGAGAGGATATCTGTAGGATATCTGATGCTACTATGTGGATGGCTTTTTGAAGACCCTGATGTGGTTAACGATTTCCTAGGCGAAGGTAGCAGCATCCAAACTCTGCTGCAGGAAACAAAGCTCCGTGGTGTCTCGAATGTCCTTGTGCCTGGCCTCTCTACTATTCTGCTGGGTATTATATACGAATTTTCTTCAAAGGACTCCCCGATTCCACGGGAAACGCTACATAAGCTGTTAATGGAGCAGATGGGAAGAGAACCGTATATCGACAAGATAACCCGATTCAGAGAGTCGCCGCTGGTCCGCGATTTCGAAGTCTTGCCACAAACTGTGGGAGCAACACAGCATGATGGGGGACTGCCTGACATCTTTTTTGACCGGACATTTATCGATTTTCTCAAAGATAACTTCAGCCGCATGCTCCGCGCAATCGATCGTGAGCCTGGTCTAGAGATTTCTGTTATCTCAAACGGCGTCCAAAGAGGAATCTCACGAGAAATGGTCGACTCCCTGCGTTCTGAGCTGGAAGATCGAAGCCAAGCAGTGCAGAAGTTGGAAGCAGACCTACTCAGCCTGAAACGGAAGCTTGAGCAAGAACAATCCGAGCTCATGAGGGCGATGGATTCCAATTCAGTGGAGACTTCTCGGATCAAGCAAATAAACGAGGCGCTACAGCGGAACCACGAGCAAGAGCTACGAAGGTTGGAAGAACAACACAACCAGGCGAAGAATGGGCTTCTCAAGCAGCACGGCGATCAGTTGCGGGCTCTGGATAGCCAGTTAAAAGAAATTTCCGCGGACCGCGAGAAGAGGGGCCAGCAGTATGAAGCTGAGATAGCGGAACTGCAGGAGACCATCAATTTGCTCGAGTCCGACATTACTCGATCCAAGGAGCAGCAGACCACTGAATCGGCTCGTTTGCAAAAAATCATCCAGTCCCTGGAGTCTGGTCTTTCGCAATCCAGGGAACAACAGGCCAGTGAAGTGGATCGGTTGCAGAAGACGATCCAGTCCTTGGGGGCTGATCTTTCCCAAGCCAGAGAGCAGGCTGGTGAAGTTGCTAACTTACAAAAAACGATCCAGTCTCTGGAGTACGATCTCGTTAGCGCCCAGGAGCAACATGCAGGCGAGAATGCTAACTTGAGAGGTACCATCGAGAAATTGGAGTCTGACGCTGGTCAATTCAGAGAACAGCATGCTATCGGTCTCGCGAACAAGGACAAAGCAATCCGGGACCTTCAATCAGACATGGAAGCACTCAAGAAGCAGCACGAAAAAGAAGTTGCAGACCAGAAAGTTATGATCGAGACATTACAAACCGACCTTGACAAGGCTAAGGATAAGTTCACGAATGATACCAAAGCCATCCACGACGAATATTCCGGCAAACTGTCTGCGCTAGAAAAGCGTGCTGAGGAAGCAGAGCGCAAGGCCGAGGAGGCAGAAGCCAACGCGAAGAAGCAAGCTGAAGAAGCCTCACTTAAGAGCGAATCTGCAGACGCAGATGGAAAGAAAACTGCTAAAGAACTCAAGGACCTACGCGCAGAGCTTGACAAAGCGAAATCTCAACTAAAACAGGCGGAACAGAAAGGAGGCTCAGCAAATGCCGATGCAAAGAAGACTGCCAAGGAACTCGAAAACCTACGCAAAGAGCTCGACAAGGCGAAATCCCAGATAATGGAAGCAGAGCAGAAGGGAAGCTCCGATGCAAAGAAGGCTGCCAAAGAACTTCAGGATTTACAGACGGAGTTTGATAAGGCAAGGGTTCAGATCAAACAGGCAGAGCAGAAAGGAGCTACCACCAATGCCAGTACCGAGAAGAATGCTCAGGAACTTGAGAGTCTACGCTCGGAGCTTGACACGGCGAAGTCGCAACTCAAGGAGGCAGAACAGATGGGAGAAGACGCAGATGCAGACGCAAAGAAGAATGTCCAAGAACTCAAGGATCTACGGATACAACTCGAGAAAGCAAACTCCCAGATAAAGGAGGCAAAAGAGGCCAGTAATTCCTCGCAGTCTGAGCTGGACAAGGCCAAGTCGGAGGCAAAGGAGAAGGAAGACGCGCGCAAGGCTGCGCAATCGGAACTTGAGGATCTCCTAATTGTGTTTGGCGATTTGGAGGCGAAGAGGGAGCAAGATAAGGTGGGTTTTCCTTTTACATGCTATGTGTACTATAGCAGTTTGGCTTATGATTTTTTTAGAAACGTCTTAAGGATCTCGGGCAGGAGGTGTCTGAGGCTGAGGATGACGACGAAGATGACGAAGAGGAGGGCTATGATGAATAAATGTATAGATCAAATGAATGATTGTACGTTGAAAATGCTGTTATCATGGGCCCTAGAAGATAGAGATCGGTGTCAGATTAGAGTACAGAAGATGCAGGTGGATACCCCAGCCTCTGATTGCCGGAACACTACCTACAAGTATTCGGCGTCATGTAATCGTCCGTTGAAGCCCATATATCTATCTTATTATAAACCGCGGCAATCGCTCTCCAGTCAACTTTATACAACCCATTATATAGATATAACCCAGACTATATATCATTTCCTGTCGCCTACCCCAAAGACCAACAATCTCTTGACAATTGTCAAGTTCTTTATACCCTACTCCTGATTAAGCCCTGGGCAAAAACTGCAATGTATCCTACCAATACCGGGTTGGAGATACACTGACTGTCCGTTCACACCATCACCACCAAAAAGCGAATCTAACATTCGAGCACGTCTTTTACTTTGAAGTTTAGAATTGGCAGGCGTTCCCACATTGTTCGCTTTATTCTAATCGAACGAATCCAGGGCATTCCCATAATCGACTTAGACCTTCGCGCATTGAGAGAAGAACGCCAAAAATTCTTGAAACAGATTGTCGATGTGGAATGCTCATTCTATAGCAGGAACATGATACACGAGGACTTATACCCACGGAATATACCTATCAAGCATGAAGGAGACCAGAGAACGCCGGAAATTGTGACCGTCGACTTTGGATCGTTGATCTCCGGACGCACTCGTAACCCAGAAAACGTTGAGGAAGAGCAACGACACCTCCCGAGGACTCCAATTAGCCCATTGTTTAGATGGAAAATCGTGGTGAACCGTCAGTATACCTTTGATGAGCGGATCCACTGGCCATGGCAACCTTGTCTTGAAGAGCAATACAAAGACACAGTGGCATGCATGATGCAGGAGAAGTGAGGGCTCATTTTGCTCTATGGAGTGACGCTGAGGGATGAACTAGATGACTCTTATTCTGATACTGAGGGTTCTCATGTGTAACAAATATATTTGACTCATTGGAGCTATGACTGCAAACTCGATCTTTTCCATACCGCACATGTATATAAGGTACAACTTCATGCCATACGGAGCGTAGAGTAATCTTTTAGACCAGTGTTATTTTTGGGGAGGATTATTATCTTTCATCCTTTACTCTCGACACGAATTTGTATAGATTTTCCCCCAATATAGAAGGCGGTACAATCCAAGGCGGGGGTGAGTCATCAACCACTTTTTGCTCTTTTGAACCCCACGGCTGCCCCTCGGAAAACCACCCACGACAGCTTCGAATTCCGCAACAAATTCGCAATGTCTGTTGATTTTCCGGCTGAGGAGGAGATTATCCTCCAGCGGTGGAGAGAAATCAACGCCTTCCGCAGGCAGGTTGAGCTCTCCGAGGGCCGCAAACCCTACACTTTCTACGATGGCCCCCCATTCGCAACGGGTCTTCCTCACTACGGTCATTTGCTGGCCTCAACCATCAAGGATATTATCCCCCGGTACTGGTCGATGAAGGGCCACTATGTCGAGCGGCGATTCGGTTGGGATACCCATGGTGTGCCGATTGAGTACGAAATCGACAAGAAGCTGGGCATGTCGGGATTGGAGGCTGTCAAGAAGCTTGGAATTGAAAAGTACAACGAAGAGTGCAGAGCCATTGTCATGAGATATGCCTCTGAGTGGCGTGAGACGATCGAGAGACTCGGTCGTTGGATTGATTTTGACAATGACTACAAGGTACGTTCGTGCGAAAGCGATGAGGGAGGGAGAGGCTGACAGATCTTTGTGTGGATATAGACCATGAACACCGGCTTCATGGAATCCGTTTGGTGGGTTTTCAAGCAGCTTTTTGACAAGAACTTGGTCTATCGGGGCTTCCGTGTCATGCCTTATTCGACCGCACTCAACACCCCGCTGAGCAACTTTGAAGCTCAACAAAACTACAAGGACGTTCAGGACCCTGCCGTGGTTGTTACATTCCCTCTCCGCGATGATCCCGAAACCTGCCTGCTTGCCTGGACTACCACCCCGTGGACCTTGCCCTCCAACCTTGGTCTCGCTGTGAATCCCAACTTCGAATATATCAAGATCCTTGACGAAGCTTCCGGGAAGCACTACGTTCTGCTCGAGGCCCTGCTCCGCACTCTCTACAAAGACCCTAAGAAGGCCAAGTTCAAGATTGTCGACCGTTTCAAGGGAGCCGACATGAAGGACTGGAAGTATGAGCCGCTCTTTGACTACTTCTGGAAGGAATTCAAAGATCATGGTTTCCGCGTCTTGAATGCAGAGTACGTCACTGCTGCTGATGGTACCGGTATCGTTCACCAGTCTCCTGCATTCGGTGAAGACGATTACAATGTTGCCCTTAAGTCGGGCGTTATTGACGAAAACCGGGTCCCACCAAACCCTGTCGATGAACAGGGTTGCTACACCTCCGAGGTTCGGGATTTCGTTGGCCAACATGTCAAGGCTGCCGACAAGAACATCATCAAGCACCTGAAGGCAGCCGGCCGACTGATTGTTGATAGTCAGATTACCCACAGCTACCCTTTCTGCTGGCGCTCCGACACTCCTCTGATCTACCGGGCCGTGCCATCATGGTTCGTGAAGATCCCCCCTATCATCCCTGACATGCTCAATGGCATCGAGGAATCCCACTGGGTGCCCTCATTTGTCAAGGACCGCCGATTCTCCAGCTGGATCCAGAATGCCCGAGACTGGAACATCTCCCGAAACCGATTCTGGGGTACTCCTCTCCCATTGTGGGTCAGCGAGGACTTCAAAGAGGTTGTTGCCATCGGCAGTGCTGAGGAACTCAAGGAGCTTAGTGGGTACGAAGGAGAGTTGACCGACCTTCACCGTGACAAGGTGGACAACATCACCATCCCCAGCAAGCAAGGAAAGGGTGATCTTCGCCGTGTGAGCGAGGTCTTTGACTGCTGGTTTGAGTCTGGAAGTATGCCGTATGCGTCTCAGCACTACCCATTCGAAAACAAGGAGCAGTTTGAGAAGGGTTTCCCTGGTGATTTCATCGCGGAAGGTTTGGACCAGACCCGTGGTTGGTTCTATACCTTGACCGTCCTGGGAACTCATTTGTTCGGTAAACTCCCGTTCAAGAACTGTGTCGTGAATGGAATTGTCCTCGCTGAAGACGGCAAAAAGATGTCGAAGAGATTGAAGAACTATCCCGACCCTTCCCTGATCATGAAGCGTTACGGTTCGGACTCTCTTCGATTGTATATGATCAATTCTCCTGTGGTCCGTGCTGAACCTCTCCGGTTCAAGGAATCAGGCGTCAAGGAGATTGTCGCCAAGGTCATGCTTCCCTTGTGGAATAGTTACAAATTCTTTGAGGGCCAGGTCGCTCTTATCAAGAAGGCTGAGGGCGTCGACTATGTTTTCGACCCCAAGGCAGGAGCAACGAACACCAACGTCATGGACCGCTGGATTTTGGCAAGTTGCCAGAGTCTTCTCAAGTTTGTCAATGAGGAAATGGCAGGCTACCGTCTGTACACGGTCGTCCCCCGGTTGCTCGAGTTGATTGACAACACCACCAACTGGTACATTCGCTTCAACCGGAAGCGTTTAAAGGGCGAGAATGGCGTTGAAGACACCCTGCATGCCTTGCACACTCTCTTTGAGGTTCTCTTCACTTTGGTCCGAGGCCTTGCCCCGTTTACGCCCTTCATCACCGACACCATCTACCAGAAACTCCTCCCCCACATCCCTGAATCTCTTCGCGGTGAAGACGACCGGAGCGTTCACTTCCTTTCTTTCCCCGAGGTTCGGGAGGAGCTCTTCGATGAAGTTGTTGAGAGACGGGTGGCACGGATGCAGAAGGTGATTGAGATGGGCCGTATGTCTCGTGAGCGCCGGTCCATCGGTCTCAAGTCGCCTTTGAAGACCCTCATTGTCATCCACCAAGACCAGCAATACCTCGATGATGTGAAGTCCTTGGAGCCCTACATCCTCGAGGAGCTGAACGTCCAGAGCCTTGTTTTGTCGTCTGACGAGGAGAAATACAACGTCCAATACAGCGTGACTGCCGACTGGCCCACCCTGGGTAAGAAGTTGAAGAAAGATGCCCAGAAGGTGAAGAAGGCGCTGCCTTCGCTCACCAGCGATGACGTGAAGCGTTTTCAGAACGAGAAGAAGATCCTTGTTGATGGCATTGAGCTTGTGGAGGGTGACCTTGTGGTTAAGCGGGGTGTCAAGGAGGATGCTACATCTCAAGGCTTTGAGCCCAACGCGGACGCTGATGTCCTGACTATCCTCGACGCCAACTTGTACCCAGAACTTGCGGAGCAAGGATTGGGTCGTGAGATCATCAATCGTCTCCAGCGTCTCCGCAAGAAGGCCGGTCTGGTCCCTACTGATGACGTGAAGATGGAATATGCTGTTCTCTCGGATCCTGACCAAGTCGGTATTGACAAGGCTTTCGAGAGCCAGTCCCAGGCCATCGTCAAGGCTGTGCGTCGGCCATTGGAGAAGCACGCGTCTGCGGAGGGTAAGGCACCCAGTGATGATGATGAGGGCATTATCTTGCAGGAAGAGCAGGAGGTGCAAAAAGCCACATTCTTGTTGAGACTGCTGAAGCTGTAAAGTTTTTGTTATATTTTCGGATACTCCAAGTCTAAAGACTAGATAAAATTTTACGTGTTATTGACTTCTATTGCTGTTGCTCTCGCAGCGTAGCATATCATGATCCTTTCGTATCTCAATATACACAGCCCTTGCTAGCCCTTGCTTTTAGCTCTTCTTCGACGCTGCCTGTATATAGTTAGCCGTCGCCCTTACTTGGTCGAAACATACTATTTCATACCAGATAACAATCCTTCAACTTCAGAAACTCTTTGGCACACATGTCTTTGTGCACAGAGGTATAGTCGGCAAGAATGCACTTGCCATATGCCGCCGCCTAGACTGAATTAGTACCGACGGCCACGGGATATATATGCTAACTCTCACTCACCTCAACAGAGCACTTGGCCGTAGCCTTAGCGAAATTATTAATAGGCCTTGTCCGGGCAGTCATTGTTGCGACATGAGCATAGTGTAAAGAGAAACCACAGGTATTTCCGATCAACGTCAGAGGATTACCTCAGCAACCCACCTCACGTGACACTCCCGCATTCCGGTCGCGCCAAAACAAACAAAATGTAGTGATTCCTTCGACAGACAATTGGCATTTGGAACATCGCATGCGGAGTCCCTAGCCGCTGTGATACTTGACCCTTATCAGCTTGGATTGGAGGATTTCCTGCTCGCCGCGCAATGAATGATTTCGTTTCCCGCCTCTATGACACATATGCGAAGGACGCGCCTTAGGTCGCGGATTTTTCGATGCCTCCGAATCCCCGTCAGCGTAGAGCTCTGTCCTATGAAACCCCGTCTCTCTCGGACGAAGGTGCGCCGAATTCCTATGGCTCTAATTAATCGTAGCTAACAACGGGCACGTGCAGATGTCGGCCTACTCTATCAGATCATCACCCGCGCCGAGGGCAAGCCCGAAGCCCATCAAACGCCATTCCGGGCCTTATTCACGGCGTACGACGAGATCATTGACGAACATGCAGTGGACGCTGACCCAGGCCATGTCTGCCTACACTTCCTGTTCAAGATGGGGAGCAAAGGCATCAAAGGGGATACATTGTTCGACAAGTTCGAGAATTTGTTGCAGCACATGGGGATAGTGATAGAATTGGGCGACGAAACCGAGACGAATGAATACTACAACCAAAGTTCTGTTTATGGTGGTCACAGCGGGACTGTGACTGTGGATTATAACAATGGGTATTATCCTCAAAGGGATGAGGACACGGCGCAGCCGGCGCGACGGAGACGAGCTTCGTTTAACTCGATGTATGATGTTGGCGATGATCCTACGCAGAGGAGTATCGCGAATCGCCCTAGCTCGCGCTCGTCATTGTCGCGACTGGAGGTTGGGAAGCCAGTGTTCCTGGAATCCACGCCCAGACCGTCGCCGAAACGTCCTGCCGCGGACATCAGACAGCACGACTCGCCGAACCGTACTCAATTGATTGCACAATTTCTGGATGTTGGTCGTCGGTTGATAAGTCGATTCGATTCGTTGAAGCCAGCCAGAGATAATGCCGGTGACGAAACTCAAGTCAATGTCGGTGCGCAGGCCAAATCTGCCGTGCACAAAGATCGTTCTGAGAGGCTGTCGCGACGTCAGTCACGGAAGTCGCTGAGCTCCAGCAGTTCGAGTGAGGATGATAATGATGATGATGACCGTGGTGACGACGAATCAATTTCCTTCCATGGCGACGAAAGCGGACCGATTGAAAAGCCGGATGTCCCTCCTGAGATGCTGTATCGACCCTCCCTTTCGGATCTGCTGCGGGATGCTTCGACTTTCAATATGTATCGCGAGCGCGGAATAAAACGTCGCCTTCTGACACAATGGCTGAAGAAGGCCATCCAAAAACGGCAAGGTAGTGCCAATATGGAGATTGTCGCTGTCAACCGTGACAGGTCTACACTGCTCCGCCAGGCTTTTGAACAATGGCGCGGTATCATCCAGGATAAGCGACAAGCGGTTCGCACGGAGCGATTCTACGAGCACCTTGAGCAGCGCGCTGGGCGTGCGCGTGACTTGTTTCTGGTCACTAAGGCCTTTACCCATTGGGCGCAAGTGACTTCTGAGGAAGTCGCCCGAACCTCTGCTGCGCGCAGGCGCATCCTTAGTATCAAGTATTTCAAAGCTTGGAGGGAAATCACTGCCGTCAACGAACTAAAGGCCCAGCGGTTTGCAATGCGCAAACCATTCAGCACGTGGCGGAAACGGATCCAGCAAATCAAGGAGAATGAGACGACTGCCGCAGCTAGCCATGACAGAGACCTAAAGAATGGGGTCTACTGGCAATGGTTCTGGGGCTTCTGCGACCGACGCGCACCACAATGGTACGAATACCGCCTCAAGAGACGTTCCTTGTTATGCTGGTTGCGAAGTTTCCGTACGAACAGGGAACGGAACCACGAGATCGAAATCCGAAACCGACGGTTAGCCATTGGATCAGCATGGCAGACATTAACTCAAAGGTCCAAGACTGTTGCTGGCGCAGAGCAGGAAGCCGTATCCATGCAGCGGCACAAGCTTCTGACGGAAACGTTTGGCGAATGGAAGATACAAACTTGCCTCGCTCCGGCTGCTTACCGTGTCTCTCATATGGTCGACAAGCGGGTTCTTCGATCGGCATTTACACAATGGGTGCAGCGTGCTCAAATGGGCAAGCAGGCGAGAGAAATGGATAGGCAAAGGATCATGCGAAACTCATGGACAGAATGGAACGACCAACTCCGCTGCCAGGCTCTCAGTGCACGGATAGACGAACGCTTAAAGATGGAAACGATGTACAAGTGGATCCTGGCAGAACGGTTCAGCCTCATGCAGCGAATTCGAGACCAGCGGATCAAACGCGACACATTCTCGACATTTGTTGCCAGTATTCGCGGGACGTATTCTCGGCTCCTGCACCATGCAGATATACATGAAGACTACCGCAGCGAAGAACTTCTTCGGTCGAAATTCAGTATTTGGCGCGATCGGCTTGCACTCCAGCGACAACGGGAATATGCTGCGTTCGAATTCTATGCCCCACGACTACAGCAAGAATCAGTCGTGGCATGGCGATCTAAACAGCAAAATGTTGCGAGGCTGGAGGCACGATCAAAAGACGCTCGTTTCTATTTCTTAGCGACCAAGACAATCAAACAGTGGCATACTGCCACGATACAGTCGGCCAAACGACGACGACAAGAGTCGTATGCCTGGTTCCGAAGAAAGGTAAAGATGAAAATAGCTACACGTGCTTTGGACAACTGGCAGTCGTGGGCTGGACACATTGCTGTTCTAGAGCGGCAAGCATTCGAGTTCCATAGAAATAAATCCTTGAGTATCGCATCCGGGCTGTTCGGTCTATGGCATGACCAGGCTTCGAAGCGTGTTCAAGATTGTCATGAAGCCGAAATGCACTATGCCCGACAAGCTGCGTATGGTCAGCTGATGCGCTGGACTGAGCTTTATCTCAAGAATCGCGATTTGGAACTACAGGCCACTGACATGTACCGGGTGCACATTCTTGGTCAGGCCAACGCTTCGCTCCGCAAGCTAAGCCTGCGCATATTCCAAATCAACAGCTCGTCCGAAACAGCTGATTCACTGCGCGAGCGAAATACTAGAAAGCATGGGAGAGGCATGTTCCGCCACTGGATCGACAAAACACGCACCAAGCTCGAGGAACGAGATTCTTTCGCCCCTCTCGTGACACCCGCAAAACCCGGTCGAAGCTTCGACGGCACAACAGGCCGATCCGGTCGCTCGCTTTTCGACCCTTGGTATTCTGTCGAAACACCGTTTAGGTTGAGCGAGTTTGCCACGCAGTCCCAGGGTCCTGATCTCGGTCCCGGTCCCTCTGCCAGTCCATTAGCAACGCCCAACTACATGGCTTCGCCATCCAAACGTGCTGCGCGGGCACGAGTTCTGGCGCAAACGTCGACTACTCCCGCGACACCATTGTACACGCCGTTCGCTGGTCGCGTGCTTCGGGCTGAGGGTATGGCTGCGAAGAGTGCTTCGAATAGACGACGAAATGGTCGGGGGAGCGCACTAGGTACGAGTGTGAGGTTTGTTGATGAGGAACCTACGTCGCCCTCGGAGGGGAAGAGGTCTGGGAACCGGCGGACTACGTCTTAACGGCTTCATTTTGTCTCTTGTGGATTTGATTATCTACGGTATTGTTGTATATGACTTCTCTTTCTAATGGGCCTGCATTCTGGAATCTGGATTTGTTGATACCCTTTGTATCGTTATCATTGGCATTGGATGGTGTATAGCCGGCATCGTTTTCGTTATGTTTAAATGGATATGTACTTGTTCTTTTGGATATACATAGGGAGGAACATTGGGAGCATTGAGCGGCGTTAATGACGCTGGGGATAGACATTAAATATGAAAGATTTGACCGCAATCACTAGTAACTCTTTTAACAATTCTTTATTAGTCTCGGGAGGGTCAAAAGAGCAGAGGTGTATTCATACCCAACCACAGTAGTCTGCCTGCCAATACTCGGTGGAGCTATAGCGGACATTCATCGTCACCTCCGCGGCTCAGTTTGACTCGTCTACTTGTATTCTCCAATCCACAACCTCAACAATCACTTACTATTTACTACGTGCATCCACAATTCAACTTATTATAACTATCTACACCATCTGCAATGCTTCTTCCCTTCTCTTGAGCGCACGCAGCTCCATTCACCACCGACCACCGCCTCTATGCGAGCGGTCCTGCCGGGGAGACCCCCAGCGAAGCTCCAGTCGTTCAGCACCGCGCTGTGGGACGGTCTTCGCATTGTTGTATGCTACGCCTTTACAATCCTAGAAAAGGAACGTCAGCTAATATTATGCCGGTGTTAGGCTTACATCTCCGGCCATGCACTGGTGATCCTCGGCGGTCCGCAGAAGCTCCTACAGACGATCTACGTTGACGACACCGAGGCACTTGAGGCGGTTGCTATTGACGAGACTTCGGGAAAGATCGCGGTTTGTGGAGGGCCGGATGTGTTTATTTATCAGCCATATGGGATACAACATGAGGCATTGAAGGTGTGTCCTTGTCACTGAGCGCGTCGCAGCGCATGGGTCCCGAGAGAGATACAGAGACAAGGTACTGATGGATGGTACACGTTACAGTGGTCGCTCGCCCACACATTCCGCTGCGAAAAAGACGACGAGGCAATCCGGACTTTATCGTGGGGTTCTCCCGACGAGCTACTTCTCGGAAACTCACACCTCACCCTCTGGTTCCTAAACGACACCCCGCGACTCGTCTGGAAACAGAAGCTCGCCAGTCCCGTTAAATTTGCGCAGTTCTCCCCCGACGCGACTTTAGTGGTTACAACGGGTGTCTACGATCGAATCGTCAAGGTATGGCGACGACTTGCCTTTGGCGCGGACGATGCCCGCTTCGACGTCTTTTACCTCGCACATCCGTCAGTCGTTACAGGGATACACTGGCGCAAACCGTATCATCGGGAACAATCGATAGAGAATGTTCTGTACACTTTGTGTGCGGATAAGAAGATTAGAGTGTGGACTGCGACGGAGCATGTTGCCTCATCGGCGCTGCGGCTATGGACGCAGATCGATATGGAGGCTTCTGTTCAACCAAGAGATACGAACGATACGAGGGCGATGCGACGATACGGGTTCGTGTTGGATAGTCGGGACTTTTGCGTGGCCACGGAACGGGCTGTCCAAAGGGGAACAGGGAACAAGGGGAATCATGCGTTGGAGCACATTATCGAAGTTGCCAACAAGTTTCCGGAGATCTGCGTCGTGATCGATGGACAGGGTCATATGTCTGCTTGGGCGTTGGAAGATGTTGGTTCCAAGTCCCCTCCCGAATCGAAGGCCTTCAATATCTTGCACGTGGAGGGCCTGAACTTCTCGTTCATGCCCGGTGTTTCTGCGGAGGAAGATTATATCCAACTTTGTGCGTTTCAGAGCGAAACGTCTGTTGATTCTATCAGCATTCTTGCGCACCATTTTGATGGAAGAATCGAGTGGTTCGACTCTCAAGTCGACGTCCTGTTCGACCCAGCGCCGCGCAAAAACCGCATCTCCCGGGAAGGATCCTGGAGTGGACACGACGGACCGGTAAAGAAGATTGTCCGCAGTGCAGTTGGGAATACTCTTGTTTCACGGACGAATGATAGCCATGCCTTGGTTTGGAAGCAAAGGCGGCGAGGCTCGGGCTCGACGCTCATCCGACAGAGCTCGCTCTCTTCGGAGGAGCACATTCATCGCAGTTGTATAATTAGGAATGGCGATTATCTGCTTAATCTTCACCATAACGCTATTTCCCTTTGGGATGTTCGGTCGTTCTACGCTGAGCAGCTCCAAATCGAGACGTTTGAACTCTCAAGCAAGCCATTGTGTGTCCTTCATATTCCTACTGCAGAAAGGGACGCTGGGATTACCTATGTAGTGATCATCGGAACTGATATGAATGGCATTGCGTGGGAAATCCGTCACCCGACTGGGGAAAGTCAAACGAATGGCATCGGTTACACTCAGCAATGCCATTTACGACAGTTTTGCACATTCAGCCTCGATCCCAAGGAGGACATTTTTTACATATTACCCGTGGACCCTGCTGGGCAAGAAACCAAGATGCCTGGGTCCTTGGACATCTTTTCTCCTGATATAGCACTCTCATATACCAAAACAGGTATCATCCGGACCTGGACTGCCAAGGTCGATAAGGAAAACAGCCAAATCGACTGGCTCTTAACATCGACTGTGGAAACAGGCATCAATAACCCCTCCTTTGCAAGCGGAAGTTCTATCAGAAAAGCCGCGCTTGTGGATGAGGACCGTACTCGCTTGACAATATGGGATACAAGCGCCGCTCAATTGGAATATGAAGAGAATTTCTCCCAGCAAGACATCATCCGTGACCTCGATTGGACATCTACACCAGACATGCAATCCATCTTAGCAGTTGGCTTCCCGCACAAAGTCATTCTGCTCTCTCAACTCCGCTACGATTACCTCGACGCTCGTCCCTCCTGGACGCAAGTCCGAGAAATCTGGATCCGTGACCTCACCCCTCACCCCATTGGTGACTCCTGTTGGCTCAGCAATGGAAACCTTATCATCGGTGCTGGGAACCAGTTGTTCGTCTACGACAAGGAGGTAGATGTCGGTGATCGTCTTGTCTCTGAGCTCCGGATACCATCACGTGGCTCGTTGCATGTAGATATGTTTGAGGTCGTGAGCAGGTTGAATGGGCCGTTACCTGTTTTCCATCCTCAGTTTCTAGCGCAGTGTATTCTTGGTGGGAAGATGAATTTGGTTCATAGGATCTTGACGACGCTTCATCGGAAGTTGAAGTTTTATACGGAGGGGGAGCATATTGATAACTTTTTGGAGATGCCGTTGGAGGATTTTTATGTGGACCAAGATGTAAGTCGCGTCTCTTCAGTTCATTCGATTAATGTTGCTAATCCAGAACAGGCTCCACAAAAAGCATCCTCCAAGGAACTACATTCCTCACTGGCCGACTTCTCCCTCGAAGACGAACCATCCGTCATTGACGAAAACGCCGCCGCAACACTCAACGAGACACTATCCCGCATCGCCCTCCCACAACTCTCAAGCCAAGAACAATTCCGCCTCGTCAATACAATCGAATGTGTTGCAACAGTTGAAAAGCAACGACGCTCAATGGACGATAATGCCGCCCGCTATTTACTATTCTTCCGGCAGCATATGCTCCGCAAAGCGCAGGGAGTTGCGAATAGCGAAATGGTGTCGTGGAGAGAAATCGTTTGGGCTTTTCATAGCGAGAGTCATGATATTATGTCTGATCTTGTGTCGAGACAGTTTAATAGTAAGATGACGTGGGCTTCTGCTAGAGAGAGTGGGATGTTTATGTGGTTGTCTGACCCAAATGCTATAGTAAGTAACCCTCTTGAGCTTTTGATATGCTTAGCGACAGGTGTTGACAATATACAGCGCGCGCAACTCGAAATCGTCGCCCGAAATGAATACACAAAAACAGAAGAAAAGAACCCCATCGATTGCTCCCTGTACTACCTCGCCCTCCGAAAGAAGAACATCCTCCAAGGCCTCTGGCGCATGGCAACCTGGAACCGCGAACAAAGCGCTACACAACGACTGCTCGCGAACGACTTCCGAGAAGCACGCTGGAAGACATCAGCGCTGAAAAACGCATATGCGTTACTTGGAAGACGGAGATTTGGTTCGTCCCCTTTCCCCTAAGAACATCGAATGTAGCTGACGTCTGTAGAATACGCCGCGGCATGGTTCCTTCTCGCAGACCATTTACGCGATGCAACACATGTCTGTATAAATCAGATTGGGGACCTTCAGCTTGCGATTGCCATCACGCGCGCGTATGAAGGAGACGATGGACCGGTGTTGAAGGAGATCCTGGAACAAAGAGTCTTACCCGAAGCTGCATCCGATGGTAATCGTTGGATGGCGTCGTGGGCATTCTGGATGCTAGGCCGCCGGGACATGGCCGTTCGTTCGTTAATCGTAAGCCCATCCCTGCCTCCCCTCCAACCATGCAAACATATCTAACAAGACGAAACGAAAGTCCCCCATCGAATCCCTCCTAACCCCACCCCCTTCCTCAATCCCCCAGACCACAAAATCTGCCACAACAATCCCCCTCCACGCAAAATCCTACCTAACCAACGACCCCGCCCTAATCCTCCTCTACACATACCTCCGCGCCAAAACCCTGCAAACCCTCCACGGCGCTTCCCAAATCCCCCCTCTCACCGAGTGGACTTTTATCCTGCGCACAGCACGTCTATACGATCGTATGGGCTGTGATCTGCTCGCGCTTGATTTGATCAGGCACTGGGAGTTTCTGAGGGGGTTGCCGGAGCCGAAGAAGGCTAGGGATTTGGAGAGGGAACTGGGGGAGAATGTGGTTGATTTTAGAGGGATGTTAAGGAGGAGGAGTAGTTTGATTGTTGCAGATTTGCCTGTTCCTGTTCCTGGGACTATGTCTGGCGAGGGCGAGGGGCAGAATGTGAAGAAGAGAGAGGATGGGGAAAAGAAGACAGAAAAGAAGCCAAAACCGCCGCCTACGACGTTTATGGAGCCGGATGCGAATTCGTTGTTGGATAGTTTTGGGTTTTGATTTTGATTGTGTACGAGGTGTACTTGTATGTTTGCATGTTGGCGCTGTAGGGTTTCTTTGCCTTTAGTTCTTTCAACGTCAACTATGCGACAGCCCCGAGGAATATATTTTCAATCAGTTTCTATATTCAGTAGAACAAATAATAGCCTATATTAGATAGAGATATATTGGCGACTCATACTGCGGTATGTATGAGATACTTAGGCAAAATAAACAGCCTTGGGATATTTACAACATTTCAAAAATCACAAAACACTATCCTGTCCTGTCCTATATCCTGGCG